CCCCGCAAAGAAATCCTATTTATTAAGTATTGTGAAAGAAATTGTTGTCGTCTCTGAGAAGCTTTTAAATAAATCCTTTAGTTTGAAAGATGTTTCTCTGTGTAATTGTGTTTTTAAAACATCGTTACATTGTCTTTAGCTAGTCCCTATATTTGTTTTGGAGCATGAGATAAGTCTCATGAGGTAGAAAGAGCGAGCAGGTCTTTTTTTGTTGTTTGTTTTTGTTAAACATGTAAAATCCCTAGGAAAGGATGCAAGTCAGACTTGCTTTGCAGAAGATATCTGGAAGCACAAGAAGGTTTCACTAACATCATCTTGTGTTGGACAGGACTGCCTCTGAGAAAGGCAAAATGGCTTTCAGTAAAGGATACCGTGTCTATCACAAGCTGGATCCACTTCCATTCAGTGTGATAGTGGAAACCAGAAACAGAGAAGAATGTCTCATGTTTGAATCCGGAGCTGTGGCTGTCCTCTGTAAGTCAATATGTTTTGATAACTACCATGTAAAAAGTTGGCAGACTTGGCATTGTGTAAGCTGTTTATTTATGGAATATAAAGAAGCAACTATTCTGTTTTCTTATTTGCTCATGGAGAGGCTTCTGATTTAAATGAGAAAGGGGGAAAAAAAAGACATTTGCATATCTTTATCTGTTGAGAGAGAATTTTACACATTTAATTACATTTCATCATGCATGTATATTTTCATGTATACTAAATTTTCTTCTTCTAATAGCTTCCAACAACAACATCTGCTTATTTCTTTGGTTCTGAACAACCCTCTCCTTTTGAATATGTGATAATTCATTGAAAAGCTAATTCTCTATGTTGTAATTCATAATAAAAAAATTCTATATTCTTAAATGGTATATCATCTTAATTTGGTTTTTATCTCATTTTGTATCACGATTTTTGATGACTTTTTGATTTTTAACTTTATTTTGTCCCTGTATTTTTAACCTATCTTGAGACTCTGTATTGATTTGTCTTGTAATAAAATGAGTAATATTTGGAGCAAGGTGTCTTGCATTGCAAAGTTATTTTTACATGTTTTCAGTGATAAATGCATTAAATATTTCCCTTAAATTCTTTTTGACACCCTCCCCACCCCCACCCTCCCCACCCCCATTTTTTTTAATTCATAGTTAAAGGAGTATACTAAAATGAGAAGTGCAGAAGAGATCAGTGAAGCCTATAGATAGGGTTTGAAAATGTAGTTGGTTTGTATTTTTCAGAAGGACTAAGCATTGGTTGCACAGGGTTTCTGAACTTGTTTTTGACTCTCTTATAGAAAGCTTTCATACCATGGAAGGTGGGGTTTTTTGGTTTGTTTTTTCTTTTTAGTCAATAACTTTTTGATTAATTCATTCTGATGCCTGTTTGTGGTTTTCTAGCCTAGCTAGTCTGAGCACCCAATCAGAAAATGGGAGATTTGATTCACTGCCTGAAGTCTGAGTGGACTCAAAACCCTACCTTTCTGGAGGATGCTCTGGCTTTGAGACTGTGGAGTAGGCTGAATGAGGAGTGTGTTCTCTAACAAGACGCAGAGTTAGAAATGTGATTTCCAAAGAAGCATGGAACTTGAGATACATTTCCTTTCTTCAGTATTTGCAGTTGGCTCTCCTGTATGTGAGTGTGCTCCTTGGCAGTGGCACGGTCTCTTTCTGAGGCACCTGACTGTCCCTGTGTCCTGTGTAAGGTACTTAGAAGTTGGGCTATAGAGTCATCTGTACTGGACAGGCTGTATGAATAAGTGCTTTCTAGCATACAGCTTAATCTGCATCTCTAATGTGTGATTAGAACAAGCTGCCGTTAACTCTTAGTGGCCTAGCAATAGGACATACCAGCATGATTGACGTTATAGCTGCAATTGTATGATGATCCAGGTGAAAAACAATGAGTGCTTTTCTCCTATTTTTTGAGAATTGGGTTTGGTTTTTTTTTTTCTGATACAGTTTCTTCTTACTATGTATTTAAGTAATCTCATTGACTTTGCCAGCAGTATTTTAAAGGCATTGTGTAGTGTGGATTGGGTTGGGAGGAAGTGTCCAGTCATAAAGCTAGTGAACAGGTTTAGTGAATTCCATAAAACAGGTGGAAAAAAGCTTTGAAGATTTGTGGAAAACTTTATTTCAGCATGTATTTAGTAATTACTGAACATGCTTAAGCCACTTAAGGAGCAATGCATTAAAAATAATTTATTCCTGAAAGTTATGCTCAGAAAGGACAGTAAGCTGGTTTTTGTGCTGTGATATACTGCAGGCACCTGGATAAGCTTTCTTCTCTAAAAATTAAAAACTGTATCAAAGTTCTTGCCCTCTTCTATGCCTCACATTGTTACCAAACAGAGGAATTGGAACCCAAAGGAAGTTTGAAAGCCTCTCTCTCTTGGGGTCTGTACTTGGTAATAGCATGTTATTAATCTGTAAAGGTTTGGCCTTGGTATTCTAATTGGTAGGTTACACCATAGTAAACATTCATACTTAGCTACAAGTAGTTACTCTGAATATTGTTTTCAGTAACCTTAACCAGTAAACTGCTTATTCTTTTTCTGTCTGGTAAATGGGTATATTTTTCCAATACATGTTTAGCTGTGGCCTTTTGCTTTAATTCCCTTTTTGTACCTAAACTCTTTAGGTACTGAAACATGATTCTTTTGTTTATGGGTGAAAGATCACAATCATACCCTTGAACTGACACCAGAAAAAGCGCTCGAGTTCTCTAGCTCAGGATTTTTTTTTTCTCTTTTTCTGCTTGCTGTTCACTTCTGGTATCTATTCCTTTTAATACATGTTTAAAGGAGTGCAATTATTAGTGCTTGGGGAAGACTTGTAAAGTACTACTTCTCCATCTCTCTAGTCATGCCACAGAAACCAGCCAGAAGATTCTAGTCTGTAGCCCTACAAACTTCTGGATATTGGTACAAATCTAAAAGCAGAAGTTAATGAACGACTGGCCCTTGGGGAAGATTTCCCAGATGTTTGTAAAATCTGTGTGAATAGATAGAAAACCGGTCAGATCCAAGTGTATATCAATTTAAATCCAGAACAGCGTTGCTTTAAACTGTTAAAAACTCATATTTTTTGCTGATGGCGCTAATACTTTTTAGAGTCTACAAAAATTGACAATACTGATCTCAAACTGTTAGACACTTTTCAAAAGATTTTTAATAAACACTGAAGATAAAATAAGGTGTTCAGCCTTATACCCGATCATAGTTCTTACCTGTATGTAGAATGTATAATATAGGCACAACCTAGTGAAATACACTTTACTATTAAAAGTGATTCATGTGGTTCAGCTCTGAGAGCCTTAGTGAACTGTATCTTCTGGAGTATCCGTGTATAGAAATTTGGATTTGAAAGAGGCTAAGAGAAAGGAATGAAAGCTTACTGATCCTTTAAATGTCATGTTAAAGGAAGTACATCTGTCGTTTTGCTGAGGGAAGGATAACGGTATTAACCTTCATCCCCTTTACATTCAGTGAAGCATTGCAGGATGATTCAGAGGGTTTAGTTAGGCCTCTGCGTGAAATGCTATCCAACTCATATGCTGTGTGATTTTCAGTGCATGTTGTATGTGCGCTGAATCTGTTATTCAACAAAACAAGATGGAAGAAAGGAAGAGGGTTGAAGGGATAGTTCACAGAGGTGGTTGTTGCATAATCGTTCAGTCTTAACGTGGAAGCAGCCCCAGGCACGCTTCTGGTGCAAGTGTTCTATGTACTGCTTGTAACATGGATTAGCTAACGTTACTGACACCAAAGCATCTGAGAAATACTTCGCTTGCCTTTATATATTTAATATCTCTTTTATCGACTCACCCCTAGTATTGGGTTAGCCTAAGATATTGAAGTCTGAGGGGATCCTCCCAACTTGCTTTTCAAGGCCTTTTAAGAGCGCTTAGTTTTAAAAGTCAGCAGCTTCACTGTTGATTTGTTTAGAATTTAGAGGGAGGATGCCATAGATCTATTTTTCCCTTTTTTGACGTATAAAATAGACAGTATATTTATTCTTTGAAATAAGACTCTTTAATGAGATATCTTACCTGTAAAGATTTCATTGACTGAGCAGGAGCGTGTTCTCTCTCCCTGTTCCTCTCTGGTGAGTCATAATGAAACGGGTGGGAAGCTGTCTTTACTCCTGTCGCCTGCGATGAGTAAAGGAGAATGTTCTGTCGTCTGGGAAAATACTGAACCCTGAGTGGAGAGAGCAGGAGCTTTGTGCACAGCCTTTGACTTCAGTCTTATGGTAAAGCTGAGAAGAGAGCAGGTGTGAACAGGAAGAGGCACTGTGCCCACCCTGAGCTTTCTGTAGAGCTAGATAAAGTAAGAGCTGTAATAACCTGTGTGCGGCAGGCATCCTGGTATTCATAGTCATGTTTAGCAATGCTACTCTATCACCCATTCACATTCCACTTCTTTTTAAAAAGAAAATTCTTCCACACTGCTTTCTTGAGGCGGGGCGGGGGGGAGCAGGGAAAAGCAGATATGCTATTATCTATCCACAGTAGCAGATGGGATATAATAATTTTGCAAGACTTTAAGTTGATATGGTGCTTGAGGAAACTTAGACACCCAGGAAAGAAACATTCCAACAGATCAATTTGATGAGCACCTGCTATATGTACGCAATTATCAAGGAGGGTAACATTCTGTATGCTCACAACCAGAGGGTTTTTTTCTTCGGTGTTTGCTGCCACCAGTGATAAACTGCTGCTGTGCGATTCTCCCCACCAATAATGTTTATACGGAGTTTTGAGTGGAACGACATCTTCTTAACTAGGGAAGGAGAATATTTCAAAATAAATTACTACATTCTGGTTTTCATGATGGGATTCTATAAAATAAGCTCGATATAAATATTTTCCTGTTTTATATACATATATAAAGGTACAAGAAGAAGAAGAATTAAAATTCTTCAAGCAGTAATTTATCCTCTGGAAA